ACAGGTCTCTCTTGAAAATTAGGCCTTGTGTCTCAATGAGATCTACACCTGTATAAATAAAGGCTAAATAAAAAATAAAAAAATAGATATAGATAGATCGATGGATAGATAGATAGATAGATAGATAGATCGATGGATAGATAGATATATAGATAGATCGATGGATAGATAGATAGATAGATAGATCGATCGATCGATAGATAGATAGATAGATAGATAGATCGATGGATAGATAGATATATAGATCGATCGATGGATAGATAGATAGATAGATAGATAGATCGATGGATAGATAGATAGATAGATAGATAGATAGATGGATAGATAGATAGATAGATAGATAGAGAGAGAGATAGATAGATAGATAGATAGATAGAGAGAGAGATGGATAGATAGATATATAGATCGATCGATGGATAGATAGATATATAGATAGATAGATCGATGGATAGATATATATATAGATAGATAGATCGATGGATAGATAGATAGATAGATAGATAGAGAGAGAGATAGATAGATAGATAGATAGAGAGAGAGATGGATAGATAGATAGGTAGATAGATAGAGAGAGAGATGGATAGATAGATAGATAGATAGATCGATGGATAGATAGAGAGAGAGAGAGATGGATAGATAGATAATTTCGTCAAAGAAGCAGAAGTATTTTCAGACTTTATAATACAATACTTCAAATACTTAAAAAAGTGGATACATCATAAATCAGGTGGTGGCGTAACAAAGGTGTGTTACAGAGAATATGTTGCAGATTCATTTTTTAATTACGAGACGTGAGATATAATTGGATTTTATTTTGTTGTAAGAACAATCTGGTTATATCTTTGCTCATGAGGCTCTGGGGAGTTTGCAGTTTACTCTTTTTATCTCAGTTTGGCTGTCTGTGTTTACCAGCTTTCTCCACACTTCCATATTATTCATAACAAGTAGTGACAGCTAAATAGAAAGCTAGTGTGTACACAACCCACCTGTTGTCTGTGTGTGTGTGTGTGTGTGTGTGTGTGTGTGTGTGTGTGTGTGTGTGTGTGTGTGTGTGTGTGTGTGTGTGTGTGTGTGTGTGTGTGTGTGTGTGTGTGCGTGTGTGTGTGTGTGTGTGTGTGTGTGTGTGTGTGTGTGAGAGAGACTCAGACAGGCATAATTAAAAGCTGTTGGTAGCTAAGCTGAGGCTTTAAAAGGCAACCAGGGCCACGCTGCCTTCTTCACCTTTTCTATCCTCTCTTGAGAGTGTCATTATTCACCCTTTCCTCTCATCTACTTGACATGTCCTCTTCGTTCTTCACCTCCACTTGTCTCTCCTCACCTCCCATATTTTCCACTCAGATTGTGACTCTTCAAAACCAATGTTCCACTCCTCTTGATGTCTCTTTATGTCATGGCATATTCAGTAAAGAGAGTGTCCTGCGTTATGCTTCCTAAGGGCTCTATTCAAACTCAGAGAGGTAGAGAAATATGTTTATGGATATCTGGGCTGATTCAGATTGTAGGAGGAGTTAGAAAGGCAGACATTTAGCTATGGAAACCATTAACCAGTCTTTAAACACAGTTCCTTTTAGTGTTTACTTCCTGTCTGTCTTAATTGATTAATCTGACGTCCAGCTCTCTGTCTTTTTGCCTCTTTCCTTCTCTTGCCACCTTGTTATTTTCTTTAAAGTTTACAGTTTAGTTGTGGATGAATCAGAGCATACCATCTTAGCAACAGTCTGCTCTCCTTAGCAACGGTCAGTTATCGTAAATGAACAACATCTGGAATGTCCAAATTGACCAATAAGAATAGAGTATTCACCTCAGCCGTGTAATAATATTGCACCATACACTTTCTTTTACACTCCAATTATTTGTCTTGAACTTTGCTTTGAATAATCCATCACTATTAGCACTGGGGCCACAGTCAATCATTATTTTCTGAATTGATTTATCGGTTCTTTTCTTTTTTAATTGACTGATTAATGTCTGAAAAGGTATAAAAAAGCCGACCACAAGGTCCCAAAGTAGAAGGTTATGCTGTAAAATGATTAGTTCCCCCAAAGCAGCAGTTCAAACAAACCCAATAGAAAACACATAAGGAAACACACAATATGGCCAAATGTATGTGTAGACTCAAACTCTGCACTAATAAGGGATTGAGAACGGCTTATTTCAAAACGATTAGCGTTCAATTTCAGCTATTTAAAGCTTCCTATAAAAGAAAATTCAACATTTCTTTATGGATAATTGTACTATTGTTACAATACTGTATACTGTAGTATATAGTTCACATAGTATCTCACACTACACTATGAATCCTACTGAGCACAGCTTTAGACGTTAATGTCCAAGTTTTATTTAGCAATATATATTTTTTGGTATATTCCAGTAAGGCAGTGACTGACGTTGGTGGAGGTTATGGAGAGGAGGTGGGAGGAGAGCTTAACTTCACACCCTCCCTCTAATTAGACTTAGTGACTTGGATAATTCCCATTATATTAATGAAAATGACCCTCTGAAATATTTAAAGCCTCCACCACAGGCTTGCTGCCCCCCCTCCCATCGCCAGGAGGGTCAACATGTGCAAAACGCCGCAATAAATTAATAATGTACGACGTCCCGCCACATCTCACACCCCGGATTAACAGGCCTCATGCACGCTTATTCAAACAGATGAAAAAAAATAACTTTATGTAAAGCTTTCCCCTCACGAAGGCAGATATATGGATCAAATATCAAATAGACGGAGATGGCAAAAGTACACACATCCTTTACTCAAGTAGAAGTACAGATACTTGTGTTTAAAAATACTCTGGTGAAAGTAGAAGTACTGACTAAACTTCTTTACTCAAGTAAAAGTAAAGAGGCTTTGAAATGTACTTCAGTAAAAAGTACCCACAACTAGCAGCTGTTTTAAAGAGTACCTGACCTCCCTTTATATTAATAGAACAATAATGTCATTGTTAGCTAATGAATGTT